AAAAAAAAAAAAGAATAAAAAGGTAGAAACGCGGAGGTGGGGAGATAACTCAGCGGGCTTAAGCACTTGCCTGGCAGGCTCAGCAAGGTCCTGAGTTCAATCCTAGTACTGCAAAAAACAAAAACAAAAACAAAACACCCCAAGAAACAAACAAACAAACAAAACTAAACCTACACGAGCCCCCGCCTGGGGAGGTAACACAGTGGCCACAGGGAGTGCTTCTCTGGAGGTGAGTGACATGGAGGGTGGGGCGGGTGAGTGCTTGTTGACTGGTTTCCTGCGCCCTTCGATCGGCAGCTGTTTGAGTCTTTTCCAGGTTTACCCTGCATGGCGGTTTTGTCCTTTAGGAGCAAGCGCCAGTGTGTCTGTGCAAGAACCAGCACCGCCATCGCCACGCAGGGAACCCACGAGCGGAAACCCGAGACCTAGCAAGTCCCTGGCTCCGGTCGTCTGCCCCCACTTCCGGGACCGAGGCGCTGGCCCCGCCCCTCCTTCCGGCCCAGCCCGCGCGCTCCTGCGGTTTGCCCCGCCCCTTCCGCCGGTTCCCGCGCGCTCTTGGCGGGAAGACTCGGCCTCGGCTTGCTAGGAGATGTCGCGGCTTGGCGAGGACGGCGAGAGGAAGGCGGGTTCTGGGTTGCGGGCCGAGGCGCAGGTGAGGCTGGCTGCGTGTCGTCCCCGGGAGATTTCTGCGGGGTTGGCTTTTCCTACAAGAAACCAGGCGACAGTGGTGAAGCTCTGTCCCTGGAGAGGTAGCGGCAGACTCTGACTGGGTCCTCCCCTCAGCCCCGCGCTTGTTTGCCTTGGGAGCAGTCACCTCTAGCTAGGGTTTTTTTTTTTTTTTGTACCGGGGATTGAATCCAGGGCCTTCGCTCCGAGCTACAGCCCAGCGTGTTTAGTTTTTTATTTATTTTAAATTTTGAGACAAGGTCTCAGTCATTGAGTTACCCAACTTCGGGCTAAATAAAGCTCATGATCCTTTTGCTTCAGCCTCCAAGCGTGCTGTGCGCCACCAGCTTTGCCCGATGCTAGGCATTATGTTGTAGGTTTGGCAGATTCACGTGGGCAGTCTCTGCCCAGTAGAGTCAATGATTTCATTTCGGTTAATAAATGACGCATTTACATTTTGGAGGAGAAAGGCTTCCTTACATTGCTATTCACTTGAAAGATGCTGTCATTAGGAAACAGGAGTTAGATTTGTTTACACAGACCTGTTAAAGAACCTATGGAAAAGGTTTGGAACCTGGGATTTTAACACCGTTTTTCTTCATTGACTTGAATAGGTGAATGAATTTAAAGAAAATCAAAACATCGTTTATGCCTCTCTGAGACCAGTACAGACCACAGTTTTAGGAAAAACAGCAAAGGTTTGTCTTGCCCCCTTCTCCCTCAGTGATTACAAATTGGAGCAACCTAAACATTCCAAATCTCTGTCAGAAAAGAATTCCAACTGCATGATGGTATGTCAGAAGACTGAACTAAAAGCTTGTGAAGAAATTTTAATTCCAAAGATGAAAGTCATCCCTTCCAAGGCAGAATCTTCTCTGCAAAAGTTGTCCTTAGATGTTCATACTGAAAGCAGCAAGCCAGGACACGAGAGCCCTTCAGCTGCCACCATTCTGAGTGTTGACATGGAGAGCAGTGATGAAGATATCATACCAGACATGGTAAGTTTAATTAGTAGTTCCAAGTTTTCTTACTGTTTTGGAGTTTGAAAGTTATAGGCTGGAGAGATAGCTCAGAGGCATAAGCACCTGTCTGGAAAGTGTAAGGTTCTGAGTTCAATCCCTGTACCAGCATGCCATCCCAGCTGTACCTGGCTGCTGGCTGGGGTGGCGAAGGCCTGTAATTCCCGTGCTGGGGAGGTTGATAAAGGAGGATCATTGCAAGTTTGAGCTCAGCCTGGGGGCTACAAAAAAGTAAACATAAGGCCATCCTGAACTGCATAGGGAGACCTTGTCTCCAAAAAAAGAAAAGAGGGGCCAGGGAGATGGCTCAGTAGAATAAGCATTTGCCTGGCAAGCACAAGGACCTGAGTTCAATCCCCAGTTCCACCAAAAAAAAAAAAAAAAAGAAAAGAAAAGAAAAGAGAAATTTGAAAACTATGGTTGACAAGGGCCCTTCCTCAAATCAAATTATTTTGTCACCTAAATTTATTTTTTAAATTTTTTATTTTTTATAGTACTGGGAATTGAACTTAGGGCTTTTGCCCTGAGCCACATTCCCAGTCTGTTTCATTTTGACAAAGGGTTTTGCTTTGAACTCAGCCCAGGCTGGGTTCAAACTTGTGATCTTCCTGCCCCAACCTTTTAAAGTGCTGGCATTACAGATTCTGCTACCAGGCTCAGCTGGTATGTAAGTTTTTGGCTTCTACAACCTACCAGGAATATTGTGACAACTTTTATACAGGATAAAATAAAATAATATGATGTGAAAAGAGTTGACAAACTAGGGAAACAACATGAAGTTAGGAAAAATTATGAAATAAGAATTTAATTTTTTTTTTAAAGAATCTTAACATTCCCCCACCCCTAAAAGGAATCTTCAACATTCCCTGAATTTTCATTTTTTTTATTTAAATTTATGTATTTGGTACAGTCTCTTACTATGCAGCTCACACAACATGTGGTGCCAGGGATTGAACCCAGTCCTTGTGCTTGCCAGGCTATCTCTGCAGCCCCAGGATTAATTGATTGATTCATTGATTGGTTGATTTTTGCGGTACTGGAGATTGAACTCAGGACCTTGTACTTGACAGGCAGGTGCTTATTTTGACCTTGGAAGGAATTTGATTTTTGCAGGACCCACTGAGGAAACCATTATTTTTCTGTCTACTACCTGGAGGGTCTCTATAGTCTCCTCCAGTGTGTGTTAGATCTGAAGAATACTGGACAGTTGGGCTGGTGAGATGGCTCAGTGGTCTAAAGCACCTACTTAGAACAAGCTAAGCCAAGCAAAGCACAGGGACTGCAGTTCAATCCCCCAGCACCACATGCCAGCCAGCCCCGCCCCCTGGTGGGCTGAGCTGGCCACACACAAAAATAAATAAACAAATAAATAAATAATTAAAAAAAAAGAATACTGGACAGTTATTGTGGATACTGTCTTTTATTTTTTTAAATATTTATTTTTATTTATTACATTTATTTATTGTGTGTGTGTGTGGCCAGCTCAGCCCACCAGGGGGCGGGGCTGGCTGGCATGTGGTGCTGGAGGACTGAACCGCGGTCCCTGTGCTTTGCCAAGCTTGTTTCAAGTAGGTGCTTTAGACCACTGAGCCATCTCTCCAGCCCCTGTCTTTTATTTTGGGTCTGTTATTTTCTCATGATTAGGCTGAGGTTTTGAGTTACTGGGAAGGATCCCCCAGTACTGTGTGATGTCACATCCCAAGTAATTTATAAAGAGCAGGACTGGGCCTGGTGGCACATGCCTGTATCCCAGCACTTGGGAGGCTGAGGTAAGAGGATTGTTTTGAATTCAAGACCAGCCTAGGCTACAAAGTGAGTTTACAGGTCAGCCTGAACTACATAGTGAGACCATGTCTCAAAAAGACCAAAAAAAAGAAAAAAAAAATTTTATAAAGAGCAGATGTTTATGTTCCTCTGAAAATCCAAGATCTTAGCACTGGTCTTCGCTCAGCATGGGGTGAGAGTCTTCCTGGTGCATTGTCACACAGCAAGGCAGAACATTTATGCCAGAGAGAGAGAAAGTTCACAAGTTTATAACAGTTACCCACTTGACAACACATTTCCCTGTTAACTCTGTAACTGCGGGGGCTGGGGAGGTAGATCAGTAGAATGAGCGCTTCTTTGGCAAGCACAAGGGCCTGAGTTCAATCCCCCTTTCCGGAAAAAAAAAAAAAAATCTGTAACTGGATTACAGGTTTTCCTTATCAGTCTACTTGGGCACTGATAGTTCAGGCTTATTGACCTGCTGCTCAAAATTTATGACCTGCCTTTTTCTTACGGTTCTGTACATCTTTTTTTTTTTTTTTTGTGGTACTAGAGATTCAACTCAGAACCCTGCGCTTGCCAGGCAGGCACTAATTCTACTGAGCTATCTCCCTAGCCCTTGTACATCTTTTTTATAGCATCTCAATGCCTTTTTGGGCAAAGTAAATCTTGTTTATTCTGTACTGTTCTGTTATACTTTACAGTACCACATGTCAGTTGTACAAATGAAAACACCCATTAAATTGGAGTTTCCTTTGTCTCTTTGTTCTGAATATTGTAATGTACATACTATGTACAATTCCTCATTTAGAGATCAATTCATTTAACAACCTTATTGCAGGAAGAAAATTTGGTCATTAGAAGACTGTTGAGAGGGTAGAGCCCTTATGACTTCTCAAAGGTTGTTCATCCATATACTATTTTTTTTTTTTTAAGTGATGCTACATTTTTTATTAGGGTACAAGTGAGTAACTTGAGTACAAATGAGTGACTTGGGAATGGAAAGTAATTCTCTTTAGTATACGTGCTGCCGAAGCGAGCACAGTAATTCTCTTTAAAAGGGAGATGCTCCTTTTGAAAATACAAATTCCTAAAGTATATGAAGGCAGTTTTCTGGGTTTTTTTTCATGCAACATACGGATTTTTCTTCAACTTCTCATTTCTCCCTTCAGTGTTGAGTTCTTGGCCAAAGTTATCATCAGTAGAATAAATAAATGGTCGCAAATTTCCTCGAGTCTCCTTCACAAAATAATCAATGACACTGCAAAGGCTTGGGAGCGTGACAGGTTTTTCTAGTTCAATTGTGTAGTTTTCTCCTGTTTTCACTACTTTGTAGTGCTTGATTCTCGGTATGTCTATCTCCTGTCGGATCGTGATGGAATAGTTTCCACTGTCACTACCAGGTCTCAGGATCATATTTCCAAAGGAAGGGTTCTTCTCCAACATCTCAGTTGCCTCTTTCCGGGAAACTGTATAAAAACAAGCTGGCATAGGGTTGAATACATCCACATGTTCTTCAATTAGTTTCTTCTCTTTCTCCACAGATGTAACTGGTAGCTGTTCTATCTGATCTATCTCAGTCCTTCTTTTCTTTTCCTTCTCCAGGACTTCATGTAGTCTAATCACTTGCCCAGGTAGAAGTGTTCCATGTTGGGGCACAGACAACT